GGTCGGACTAGATGGCCCACTGAGGTCCTTCCAACTCTATGAATCTAAGATCCCTTTCTGCCACCATGTTGACAAGACGGGTGTTCCCCAGCCTATAGGTGTGTTGCTGGTACCTGGCCAGTGCCCCATGAGTGCTCATAAAGCTGTGCCACGGGCCCCGCTATGACCCCCGCCAATTCCCTCAGCACCCTCGGGTGAAGAGCATCTGGACCTTCTGATTTAAACACGTCCAGCCCCTCCAAAAGTTCCCTAACTAGGTCGTCCCGGACCCTAGGCATGGCGGTGCCTCTCCTGGGTCTGTCCGCAATTCTAGTGGGGGAGATGTCCTGGTCCCTGTTCAGGAATATGGAGGCAAAGAATTCGTTAAAGAGGTCAGCTTTTTCATTTGCCGCAATCACCAGATTGCCAAGCCTGTCCTGTAGGGGCCTCACATTACCTGGTGCCTTCTTCTTACTTCCTATGTATTTGAAAAAGAACTTTTTAATATCCTTAATTCTGGTTGCCATCTTTCCTTGATCATCTTCTATTTTTTTACACAAAGGTCATTTGTGAAACTGTTAAATAAGAACAGTCTCAAGGCTGCCCACTCAAGGGCAACACTAGCATCCCTCTAGCTGAATCATTTGCCCCTTTGCTCACATTAAAATTCCTCTAGTCCCCGTCTTTTCCAGATTCACTAATAATTTCCCATTACCACTGCATCACATGCTTTAATGGAGTCTAGATAGATGTAACCTCGCTAGAAAAATCACATTTGTCTGGAATGATCCAATTCTGGCAAATCTGTGTTGCATTTTATCCGATTTCCTATTCACCTACATCTTTAATTATTCTTTCCTCCAGAATCTGCTTGAAAACCCTGAGACGGGATTACTGAGACAGGACTCATAGGCTTGTTAGTTACCCAGATGACTACTTCCCCATTGCTAAATATAGGCACGACACTACTTCTTCTGTAATCATATGCTACCAGCCCCGACTTGATACTTTTATTGAAAATTGTGTGCTACTACAGTTATGATTTCATGTGCCAGGTCTTTCAGAATTCTGAGATGAAAACCATCCAATGTACCCAATTTGACTGTATTCAACTCACTGAGTTCTGCTTTCCCCTTGGTCATGGGTAGGCCCTGAGAAAATTGTGGATTTCTTGTAGAAAATTCACAGCATGTGCGCGGGTAAAGTATCATTTTTCACAGAATATTTACAGAACTACCACTGATCTTGGCAAATGAGTCCCGGTAGTTCTGTGAATATTCTGTGAAAAATTATACTTTACCTGTGCACATGCTTCATGTGTGGCAGGAAGGCACATACCATAGGTGGCAGAAGGCCAGGGTTTGTGGAGCACTGCCCACTGCAGCAGGCAAATCTGGGAAGGGAAAGGGGCATGGGGAAAGGCAGGCAGATCGAGGCCCCCACAGTGAGGGAGGGAGTGAGGCAGGGGCAGGGGCTGGAGTGAATGGAGCCCCGGGCTAGGTCGTGGGATGGTTGGAGCCTGGGTGGCTCATCCAGGGGCACTGGGGGGCTCCCTCTGCTGCGCATATCCTGGGGGAGGTACAGGGAGGCATGTGCCCCCCCGGATTTGTGTGCTGGGTGAGGGTGGGCTGCTGCTGCAAGCTCGGCTCTGCACCCTGATGCCACTGCCTCGGAAGCCATGTGCAACACCATGTGCCTGCTGCCGCTGGGCTGAGCCGTGTCCCTTGCCCTCCCGGCAGTGAGAGCCATATGGCGTGGAGCAGCTCTCAAGGCAGTAACAGTGGGGAACAGAGCCCAGCCTGCAGTGGCAGCCACTTCCGTGCTGCACACAATATGCCCTCCATGCCTCTCCCGGGGTGCGCGCAGCGGCAGAAGCACCCCCCACCCTCCCAGATGAGCCACCCAGGCTCCAACTGCCCCATGACCTGCCCATGGCCACATTCACCCCAATGCCTGCCTCAATATGGGGGCCTTGATCTGCTCCCTGCCCACCCCAACAGTTTCCAAGCCCTGGCCCTCCAAATCCCCTTCCTCCCTGCTCCCTATACACTTACCTTCATCCGGCTGCCTGGCTGTGTCCTGGCCACGCTCCAAGCAGTCACTTGCAGGCTGCAAAAACACAGGTTTCCCCTTACAGGCTGGAACGTTGCCAGCCTGCAAAGGGAAACCTGTGCTTTTGCACATTTTTTGGCACAGGCTCATGACCCTTAAAAATCGCAATGTGGGACTAATTTCACAGTATCCGCATGGTCCGCAAAATCACTATTTTCTCAGAGCCCTAGTCATGGGCATTTTAATTTCCATACCCTCCTTCCCATTAGCCATCCTGCATTTGCCCCCATGTTCAACATCATTATCCTTATTGAAAGTTGAGACAAAGTACAGCATTCCTTTAGTCTTTTGGCCAGATAATCGTGGATACAGACCCTAGATTTCCAAGGAAGCTTGGGCTTCAAGAACTGGATATAAATCCAACATAAGGTTGCTTAAAGTAATCTTAATCAATAGATAGTGATCAATTTGTGTCTAAAAAGACTGTCAAGTGGTTTTTTACAAGCTCAGTGTAATTAATTATTGTTAATGCTGTAAGCAAAATAAATATGCCATTTATAAATCCCTAGGGTGATATTAACGCCCACAAAGAATCTCATAATTAAGTAATAAAACACAATTGACAGTGCATTTCTGCAGGATTATAGTACATTTCCAGTTGTTCTTTACAAATGAAGGCCAAAGGTTAAGGGACTCTAACCACATGAATTCTATAATCAAGGTCTGCAGAAACATCATATCTAAGCAGAGCTAAACTCTGTGGGAAGGTTTTTGTGTTTTGTGGCATACCAGTAAGAGATACAGGAAATCCTAAAACAATTTCACTTAAATGAAAGCATAGCATTTTAAATTTATTGAATATAAAAATAATTGATATGATCAGTACAGAAGGCCCTATGACAATGCTTAATGTTATTTATTTAATTCTGTCCTGCATTTTCAGATATTGATAAGTTAAGGGCTTTTAGTTTGACCATGCAAATCTGTGTTACAGAAGTTCTTGAAGACCAAGAAAGGCAAAACTGTTAAGACACAATTGGGTTTTTTTAACAAAGTATAGTGTTTGGATTTGTGGGATGAGCACTCTGGGCCATATCTTCAGCTGCTAAAGCTGTTACCATTGCGACAAGCTGAAAGTCTGGCCAACAAACTCTGTTTCTTTTGAAGTAAGTGGCAGTGAAAAAAAGTGCCACAATTGGCTTTCAGAATTAAACCCCCAGATATATCAGTGTTGATATTACTCATCAGAGCTCTTCTCCTGGGGCAAAAAGGACATTCATGATTTTGGACAGCTGCATGCATGTTTTGTGGACTCTGACAGCTGATGTGAATCATTTGTGGTGTTAATGTGTCTGGTGAAATGACAGGGAGACAGAAAAAAATGGGAAATATATATCTATTTGCTGCAGGAACTATATATATGGGACTTTCTGATTCTTGAGAAAGGAATTTTTTCCAGAGGTCTGATGGAAACTGAAGACAGTAGGACTCTGTCTTTGGCAAGCATGAATGATAACACTGCTCTGTTTTTCAAGGGACACGATTAGTGTTAGGTTCAAAATTTGAAGCCCAGCTGTGGCCTTGCTTCTCTCCAGTGAGCAGGGCAGAGCCAGTTTTGGGCTCTGGGGGAAGTGGAAGTGCTCGAGGCATTCTGCTGGCACAAAGCAGAGGCACAGAGTGTCTCAGAGAACACCATGCAGCTTTCAGACAAATCAGTCAACCAGTGGCCTGTTTGGAGTACAATTTGTAAGGGCCTCAAAGTCCAACCAATAGGGGTGCTTAACCTTACAGAATCCAGTTAAAATAATCGAAATGCTGTCAGGCTGTGTTCAGATAGAAGTAGAAGAAAGGGGCACAGATGATGCAAGCCGGGTGGCAAGAGAACTTCCCTAGCTAAAGGTCTCATTCTTTCCTCCCCTCCACCCCTCTGATTCACTGCGCTAGCCTGCCCTGACGAGAGCACCTCCCTTCTAGCATGCTAGCAGATTACTTAATTCATGACAGCTGTCCCAGCCCTGCTATCAGCACAATCCTTGCATTTAGGGCATGCAGCTGTGGTTTCTCCCCTCTACACAGGAGGGAGAAGGGGAAGGGGTGGGGAAGGAGAAGCTGGAGAGGGAGACTTAACCCCTTCTTTGCCAAAGCTTAATTTGTAAAGAAACAGAGTGCATCCTCCTGGCAGCTGCAGTCAGATAGTAGTAAACATGTTGGGCCTCAACTACATTCTTAACTTGTCTGGCCCCTTGCCCCCAAAGTAAAAAGAAAGAAAGAAAGAAAGAAAGAAAGGGAGAGAAGAAATTACAAAACCAATACTATATATAAGCAAAAGGATTTTCAGTGTTTATTCTTCATTACAGTGAAAAGTTCTGAGTAAAACACTCTCCTACAAAACTGAAAACCCAAACTACAGGAAATTGTCCAAAAGCACAAACAAAATTGAATCCTCTTTCATATTCCAAAGTGATAAAATGTTCAAAGTAAAAATAAACACAAATATAAAATGATTTTTTTTGCTTAAAAATACAGTTCAATTAATGCTAAGAGAAAGGTTTTTAAAAAAATTATATGAAGTGGGTCTGCTGAGACTATGCCTGATTCAAAAATAAAACTGTCATGTTGTCTTTTTTCCTGAGACAAACTCACTCTTTATTATGGTCTCATAACAATAAAGGGGAATTGGCTCCACATTTTTAGAATATCTGTGTAAAGAAAGGGAATAAACTGATCAAACTAGTGTAAGCAAGTGTTACTGTCATGGCTCTCACGCTAACATACATACATGTTCAACAAAAATACTACTTACGCCAAATTTATATGCCACTACAGAAGAAGGAAAAAAAGGATTTTTAGGAACTTGTGCCCACAAGGATTTTTAGGAACTTGCGCCCACTGCACAATGCTAGAACTCAGCTGGTAAAGGAATGAAATCTTATCAAGTTGGAGGTACGTGAATACAAGTGGCTTTATACCTGTACATTTTGAACGACATCTTTAAACGAAGATGATCTCTGCATCCACGTATTCACCAGGTCCAGTGCTCTGTCAAAGTTCTTTACATATTCTCCATACATCTTCAAAAATGGAGCCAGTTTTTGAAATATATCTCCTAGCCGTGGATTTATGTTCCTATTGCAAAGAGGACAGATAATTACAGATTTGTCTAGAAATATTTTGGGAACTACAAATAAATACCATGTGTGCACAAATGCACACTTTTACACACACCTACACACACGACCTGGGCATTTTCAGTCATATTTAGCTCAAATATACATATGGGAAATGCCTTGGACTTCACTCAGGTTGTACCCGTTTACATCAAGGTTCACTTTACCCCTGTACAACTTTGCTGGAAAAAAAAATTCTATCTGTGTTTGGTAAGTTATTTAGTTGAATAAACACACAATGCTTTTTTCCACAGAGAAGAACATCTGAAGAAACAAAGAGAACATTAATCTAGGTGTCCACTTGAAGATAAATACTTCATTGTAGGGGGAACATAGAAACACACTCATCTGTATGAAAGCCTTCCCCGCACATACTCTTTCCACAAAGCTAGAGCCAGGACTAGGAAACAGAGTATCATGGTAAAGTCGATCTACACGCTTTAGGATTCTCTGTGGGTACGACCTCAGAGATTAGGAACAAAGAGGATAACATGCCTTCACGTCTCCAGACTCTAGACCTGGCCAGGGCTCAGCCTGTGCTGAGCTTGTCTAGTCAAAGTAACCCACGGGGCTGCTGTACTTTACAGAAGCTTTCCATACCTATCCCCGGGCAAAACAGCTTGAGCAAAGACAGTTGTTGCATTTGTCACACGCTTTCCTCCCACGCCATACATTCTCCTTCCTCAAAATGAGGGCCAAAAGAAGAAAGCAACCGCCAGGATTTGCTAGGGAAATTTTCTCCCTATTATATTACTGGAATGGCATGAGAAGGCCACGACAGGCAAAGATTGAGAGAGGGAAGCCCTCAATAAGTACTCAGAGCTGGTTAGGAACAATTCTGTTTCTGGGTAAGGAAACCATGTTCTCCCTTCTCTGTGGATTCCCTAAGTGCCCAAGGGAAGAAGTGATCATATGATTATTAACTGGCACAGGCACTGTATTCTTGGATGACAGATGGGATGAGAGCCAGAAGGCTTGGTTTCCATTCCCATTCTGTCACTGATACCTTCACAAATGTGGAAGTCACAAGCTCCATCTGTCTTGGCTCCCCAGCTATAACATTCACTCTACCTACCTTAAAGGGGCACTATACAGCTAAAACACCACAACATCCTTAGCTAGTGTGTGCCGCATGTGCAAAATATTAACAATATGACAACAGAGGGCAATACATACAATGGATACAGATTTTGTGCTGCTACACACTTATGTTGTCCTGCAGGACAGATACACTGGCATCACAATTCTACAGCTGATGGATTTAGGCTGGGATTTTTAAAAGAATTAGGTGCATACATTTAAATGAGGGATGAATTCTTAACTTCCTTAAGCTCCTTCAAAAATCCCAATTATGTTTTTTCCCCCCACTGTCAAAGGCCACTCCCTCCAAGAAACCAGCAGCATTTTTGAGGAGAAAAAAAATTATCTTAGCCCCGCTGGTGCCCAAAACAAGCTCAGATGAGCTAGCTCCACATTACAGAGCTATCTTCAATGGTCTACCTAGGTTGGGGTGACCTGGGCTGTAGCCCCAGGCACCAGCGTAGTGCAGGGAAGGGAGGGTGGGCAATGGCTGCTGCTGGCAGCTACACAATGATGTCAGTGGTGCAGCAGCAACTGGAAGTTGCTGTTGCCATTGCTCCTGTGTGTGGCAGCTGCCACTTTGGAAGACCACTTCAAAACTTCACTCCTTTGATGGTTATAAATCCTTTCCTAATTTCTCATCTAAATTTATCTGTAGTCAGTTAGTAGCCACTCAGTCTTGGGCCACTGTTGTTTTTCAGCCCCCAAAAGTTCTGTACGGTCTCTAATATTCACCCCACATATATATTTGCACAGGGTGTTCATATTTCCTCAATCTATGTTTTGCTAAATTAAACAAGGGATGCTCCTTTGAATATCTTTGATAAGAAAAGGTCTCCATTGCTGTAACCATCTTAGTGGCTCTTCATTCCAGGTTATGATCCTCTTTTCTGAATACTGGCAACCAGAGTTGCACAGTGTTCTAAATGGGACTTTACCAATGCTTGGTACAATGAGATTAGTAACTCCTTGTCTCTACTGAAAGTACCTCGCTTAATACACCCTACGATTACATTGGCTTTCTTCACAGCTGCATTGCACTGGTGCCTTATGGTCTTTCTATGGCAATAAACTGCATTTCATAGTTCATGCAACCTTTTTATTTCCCAGTCTCCTTGGTGTCTAGTCTTTCTCCTCTCTGGAAATGGCTGTCCTTACCATTTTAGGTCATGTACAAACACCAACCATTTTGTTTATTCCTTCTGGTCATTTATGTACCGCGAGAACAAGACTGAACTCGGCTAAGTGAGATGTGAACTCCGATCCTATCTCGGTCAGTTTAGAGTAGTCGGGGAAAGTTTAACTTTCTGTTGACTTCATAGTTTAGTATAAAAACACTGTGCTGTGTCAGCGCAATCAGAGCTTCCTACAGAAGGAAAATGTCTTCATAGACAATGTGTCATCCCAGATCTAATTTTCTAGCCCTATCTTTCAAATAACTGTCTCTCTCAAATTGTATAGCCTCCTTATTTGCAACTTGCTGCAATTTTCAGATTCTATCTTGAAGTATAAACGTTATTAAACTCTCAGCAAAGGCAATATTTATTCTTCAACAAACATTAGTGTGTGCATAATATGGATATTAATATCTTTATAATTATAGTAATTTATCTTGTGAATGACAAATGTCTCTGAACTTAAAGGGAAAGTGGATTATTCTGTGTATTGTATAGCAAATATTAATGGAACAGACTGAATACTATACTTAAACTTATAGACCTACATTACTTGTCTAGATGCATTACCTATTATAAAATTAATTATTCCTATGAGATTTATTAGCTACAATTAATTTTAACATGGGCTGGGGTGGTGCAGGCATTAAGGCGCACAGTCGATAGCCCAGAGGTTGCAAGTTTGAAGCCAAAGAAGAAGCACTTATGGCGCAGCCATGTCAGATTCCAATAAATCTGTGAATCCTGCTAAATACTTTGTCACAAGGACATGAAAAAGGAAGGAATTCTAACATAGTCCCAACTTAGTTCGTAAAGAAGTAGATTACTTGCATCAAGTCTTATGTATGATACACAAAGTTCTACACCAGTGGTTGTCAACTGGGGGTATGCGTAGCCGTAGCAGTACTTAAAAGGGTCATAGGGGGTACAAAGAACTGATGTGGCTGATAATTGCTGTGTGCATGTCCATAGCCACAGTGCAGCATGCAGGCAGCCAGGTTAGCCTCCTCCCAGTAGCCTCCTCCCAGACATGTGGAGAGCAGCTGGGTCTAGCTGGTAAGTCTGTTGTGGGGGAAGGGGTATGGGGGAGGGAGTACGGCTGGGGAAGGGGCAGGGGCTGCCCAGCTGGGGCAGGTCATGGGTCTGAGCTGCATGGGGGTGCTCCCGCCAATACACGCACCTCAGGAGGCCATGGGAGGTGTGTGCCTCCAGATCTGCAAATGGGGCAAGGCAGACTGCCACTGTGGGCTGCAGCCGGGGTGGCATTGGACTCTTCCCAGTGGGGGGCTGGGCCGGACTGCACTCAGAGTGGGTGGTGCTGGGAGGGATGGTTGTGGGGGCTATGGTGAATTCTAGAGTGGCTGCAACCCCGCTCCGTAGCCCCACTCCCATATGCCCCAGCAGTGAGGGAGGGAGTGGGGCTGGGACAAGGACAGATGCTGCCCAGCTGGGGTGGAGCACAGGATGGAATCACGAGTGGCTCACCCAGGGGGTACAAGGGCTGGCAGCTCCTGCACGCACCCCAGGAGGCATCGGCCCCCGGGTGTGCACGTGGGGTGGGGTGGGATGCGGGCCTCTGTGGGCTGGAGCCAGGGCAGTGCTGGGCTGTTCCCAGTGGGGGTGTTGGGCCAGGCTGGGGAGGTTGGGGGGGCTACGGCAAATTCTGGAGTAGCTGCAGCCCCCTCCAGTAGCCTCCTCCCAGCGCTGCCACTGCCTGCCGCTGCCACCTGCCCCGAGCACAGCCCAACCCAGACCCTGGCAGGAAGAGCCCAGTGCAGCCTCGGCCCCAGCTCACTGTGCCCCATGTGCAGATCTGGGGGCACACTCTCCCCATGCCCTCCTGCACTGCATGCAGTGGCAGGAGCTGCCACCCCCAAGATGAGCTGCTTGCAGCTTCGTCCCACGCTCCACCCCAGGTGGGCAGTGCCTACCCCCCCTGCTCCAGCCTCACTCCTTCCCTCACCATGGGGGCCTACAGGAGCAAGGCTATTGGGATGGGGTCAGGCTGACCCAGCTGGGCAGCCCCTGCCCTAGCCCCACTCCCTCCTCCACCACTAGGGGCCTTCCATCTGCCCTTCTCACAGCGGCAGCCCACCCTTGCCCCACACACAGATCTGAGGACACACGCCCTCCACGCCCTCCTGGGGTGCGCACAGTGGCAGGAGCCGCACTCCCTCCCTTACTGGACGAGTCACTCACAGCTCTGTCCTGCGCCCTGCTGTGCAGCACTTGCCCCAGCCCCACTCCCTTCCTTACCATGGGGGCCTCAATCTGCCCCCCCCCTACTTAAAAAGAAGAAAAAAATGTAAAGGGGTACATGAGCTGAAACTCTTGAGACAGAAGGGGTACACTTGTTAAAAAAGGTTGAAACCCCCCTTATACCATTATAAGAGTGTATGCATATCTTGTGTAAATACATTGAGGCTCTCATTTCTTTTTTGAATGCCTTACAGTGGCATTCAAAGGTGTCCAAAATAATAAAAATAGCAAGTGATCTGGCCTTCCCATAACTTTTGAATTTGGGAGTGATGGACATCAGAAGACTGACCAGATCATGTGATACTTCATATCTATAGAGTACACTTTAAGAAAATATTTTTTATCTATCTGTGTGTTTGGGCTTGTCTTTATGACCAGGAAAGTATAAATTGCATGATTACATTTATATCTTTTGAGAAATATTATGACACCAAATAATTAAAATTGTTGTAGGACTAACTTTTCTAGTTGAAAGAACACCTTTCAAACTAAGTATTTATTTGTAACTTCGGTTACCCACCACTCTTCTGTAATTCTTGTTTTCAGCTCAGGCAAGAGAAACTGTCCATGGAAGCAATAGATGGAAGAAATATTTGAAAAGATGCCAGTTATCACATCAGACTGAATGCCTGCTTCAGACAACTGAGTGCAGAAAACCTGCATGGAAGAAACAAGGCAGTAAAAGTTACTTAATGCTAATTAAAAATCTGACATTTTGTTATAAACCCAGAGATCTCAAGTAGGAATCCATAGTGTTAGAAACATTCTGGCCTGCTGTGGGCTTTCTGAATTGTTTGCAACAGAAAAATAGCTCTACTATTTTTCTATAGTTAAAAACAAGTGAAAACTAAGAGCTGGTATTTTCCAAGGGGTGCTTCGAGTCTAACAAAGTTGAGAACCACTGCCATGGGATGACATGTCCTGTATTTTACAGTATTCTTTTTGAAAGCTACGTAGTGGCTGAAATATAAACAAAGCTCGTTCTCACTCATGTGAAGCAATATAAACCACAGGAAATTCTGTATTGTCAGGGGGCAAATGGAAAGGAATTGTATGCCCTTCTACAGGGGTGACAAAGATAAGCCTGAAGAGCCCTATGCTTGGCTCTGGTGCTGCTCATGGGTTTTGGAGTTGATCCACAGACAGCATGCACACAGGGCATGCTGGATGGTGCCACAGGCATTCACTCTGAGACCATGCCACATGAAGCACATGCTGTAACACATATCCTGGAGTGGCTGCCATGTGCAGCACAGCCCCAGAGCAACTGCTGCATGCAGCATGCCCCATGAGCATCTGTAGCAGCATTGCACTGCCCACGACACTTGCTTTAGCCACTCCAGGACACATGGTGCATCCAACATGCAGGGCCAGTCTGTGGATCCGATTCAACCTATGGACTGGCCTCACACCACTCATCCAGCCTGCAGGGACTGCCTACAGAATCAACCACTAACTTACCAAATGAAATTTAAAGATTTTCCTAAAATTTTCAGAAACAACCAGAGCAAACAGAGCCAAAATTTTCATGGAAATCTTTAGCACTGAAGGAAAGTTTTCAAATACTAATTATAGCTTGTCTAATTGAATTCACAGCAAGGGGACAGTTTTCAGTTTTAAGAAAGCCAACACACCCTATTGAGCACTGAGACTCTCCATCATTTTTAACCCTTCTTTCTTCTATGTTTATACATTGCACAATTGCCTTGGATGTACTAGAGACATTGCTCTAAATCATCCTAACTTCAGACTACTTTATATACAAAAAAAGGTCAAAAACTATTAAATCATGTTTCTGGTTTCTCTTTTATCACCAATATAAACATAAAGGAGGTAATAGGTAAAAGGATGTGACTAAGTGAGGAATACAAAAGTCAAAAGGGCCTGATCCTATGGGCCTGATGCTGGCAAAACTTCCAATGACAATCTGTTGTGGATCACCCTAAACTAAATTTGCTGAGATCCCTTTTCCACTACCACTTCTTTCATCAACCCACCTCTGCTCTCCTACTCCTAACTAAGCCAAACTACTCCTTCCAAAAACAAATTAGCTACTGGCAACCAGTCTCTCTCCCATAGTGGCTTTATGTTTGGCCACTGTAGCAAGGATCAATACATAAGAAACATCAGGGCAGCTGGGTTGCAAATGGGACACCAAATGTCCACCTGGAGCGAGAACTGGAAATCCGGCCAAGATACAGATTCTGAAAGCCAGAGAAAAAGGAAGTTGAATTACAGGCTAGTGGCTGAAGAAGAAGAAACAACTTGTGAACAGACTGTTAAAAATTCCAAGATCACAAAAGCCTTTTAATAAAACTTTCCATGACTCATCCATGCCTTTAAGAGGCAGTTACCAAGATGAACTTTCAGTCTTACCTACCTAAAAAGCTTTCTCAAATTTGACTTTACTAGAATATTCTGATATCACAGAGAAAATCTTAAACCATATACACAATAAATGTAACATCCACATTTGCCTGAGCAAATCTTTTTTGTGAACAGAAAATGAATCATAACTTGATCAAAGCAGTTACCTGGTCCAAGAGATGCAGTCTTCTAACATATGCTTCTTCTGTGTGAAGCAGTTCATTTGCAATGTTGAACAGCTTTTGTGGCTCTGTACACTGAAAAAAATATTAATTACAAATGTAATTGTCCAATTATTCATTGAGCATTCTACTTACCAAGATTCAGTGGCCAAGTTCCCCACTGGTGTAGCTGCTGAAATAAATGATGATACCACATGAGAGAATTTGCCCTGGTATTTCTATTCAAAGGACTGCTTTGCTGCTGGGGCATATTTTATTTTCTAAAGCTAATTAGGACACGCGCCAGCTGGCTGAAATAGCACTTTAGTTCTTTAGGTCTTAGCATAAGTAACAAAATCTCAAGAAGAATAGAAAAGAATAAGAGATCTCTTCTACACTAGCTATTAAGTTTTCAGGATGAATAGCATGCTAATTTGGAGACTAACAGGCTTATCATCACATTACCTACGGTCCATTTTTTTTATATCGAACTATAAAACCCACAGAATCCACAGTTAGAAAAGGTCATTTATGTCATGTAGCCCATTCCCCTGGAAGGACTGCACTGCTCTCCACAGTGCATTTCTAATAGCATGTGTGGAACATATGGATACCGTATGTATTATACATATGTAACAGTATGTATTATTGCACACTTTGATAGAACTCAATGCAGAGGATTTTTTTCCCCTGGTATTCATACTAAATTGTTCATCCCGTTATTTCTCATGTTATCCCATTGACCATTTCTCCTCCTTGACTTGTACATAACCATTTTCAAGTGCATAAATAATCATGGCTCCACTTTGGTCATAGGTTAGACATGCCACTGTAGAATGAAGGTTCAACCATCTTAATACTTAGAGATACCCGAGTCAGTAGGCTACAGACTGAAATTCATCTATTTTCTGAACAAACTTCATAAAATTATCAACTGAATTCTTAATAGCGATTAATGGTTTTTAACATCCAAGACTACCAGTGCAAACTGTTTATGATTGAATGCTCTCTCTCTCTCACAATAAAATTAAATATTATCTCAAGTCTCTCTAATGATCTTTAAATATTGATTAATATACAATTTTGTTGTTATTCTGGTAATGTCAGTGGGTGGACAGGAACAAAATACGCAGACAGGTTAGTCAAGGTCAGCAGACTGTGAAGCACTCCAAAAAAAAACTTAAAATGATTGGGCAGGGGGTGGAAATGAAAGTCACTGTTGTCAGATAGAGGGTACTGTACACACTGGAAAGAGTAATTTCAACTACTCATGAATATCAATGGATTCTAAATTAACTGTAACCATTGAGCAGAAAAATACCTGGGTTTCACTGTAGGTAGCTCAATGCAACCACCTAACCCAGGGATAGGCAACCCCCAACACGGGTGCCAATTAGTGGCACACAGAGACACTTTCCTTGGCAAGCCAGGAGGTGTGCCAAGGAAAATGTTTAAAAAAAATGTTATTTAAGTTACTGTTCTGGGCTCTCCAGAGCAGCAGCAGATAGCAGCATCATGGCAGGAACTTGGGGCAGGGGCAGGAGAACACAGGCAGGGATGCAGGGAGGCTGCCTGCGTTCTGCTGCCCAATGTCTGTGATGGTGCACAGGGGAACCTGCAAAATCAAAGGAGCTGCCACACACCCCACTCCTGCCAATTTTGCAGGTTCCCCCGTGTCAGTTCTCTCCCCCGCTCCACTTGCTGCTCACTCCTGATCAAAGGGGAGGTGAAAACCAGTTTTAAATTTAGTGTGGTTTTTGCCCCCCAGATGGTCAGCAACACCAGTGGGGCTGCCAGCACCCCTTGGCCAATCAGCGGCAAAGACAAACACCAGAACTTTTTCCTTCTGTAGGAAGCACTGATTGTGCTGGTGCCACCCCTGTCCCTAATCATGGGCAACCCATGGAAGGGGGCACAATCCCCCCCAATTTCTGCCAAGGCTCCTGGCAGGGGCCCAATCAGCTTGTGCCATGCTGCTGACCAGGTCTGGAGCTGGGGCTGGGGCCGTAGCAAGCAGCCTGAGTCCAGACACCACGCTGCGCAGCAAGCCTCCCCCAGCACCACCTCTGTGCCCGCCCACCTGCCTGCATTGTTGAGGGGGGGTGGGAAGGGGAAGGGATGGCAGCAGCAATGGCACAAAACAACCAAATCTGGTATTTACTGTAAAAAACCAACATTAATGACTTTTAACTATATTAATATGCAATGCATCCTGCCATGTACCCCCCGCCCTGGTTTTGTTTTCTGGCATGCTGGTTTTGTTTTTCTGGCATGCTGGCACTACCTTACAAGGTAGACACTAGAGGTGTGCGAAGCGGGCCCTATTCGATTCGGATTCGGCCGGAATCAAGGACAGCGATTCGATTTGTTGATTCAGATCACTGTCCCTGATTTGATTTGGTCGAATCTAAACCTGAAGATTCCATGCTGATTCGATTAGCGATTCAGACATAGACACAACTTTAAATGTTTTTTCTACATAGCTCAAGGTATCAGTGAGGCTTGTGAATTCTGCGATGCTGGGGCACATGGAGCGTCCCACAGGAGCATGGGGGGAAATAGGAGAAAACATGAGAGAATTACATTCATATATTGAATGGAATGGGATAGTGCAGGTAAATTAAGTGCTTCTATTTACTGTCATTTATAAGCCAAGCAAGTGAAAAATTCAGGGAACCTGAAAGGAAATAAATTTAGACAGAATGAAAATACTCTTTTAAAAATGGCAATATATAAGAACCCTGTCAAAATCATTGTCAAAATTCAAAAAGGGACATTTATACAGATAAGCGAGAAGCTCCACATTTACTGATAGCAGAAAACACAAGTCAATCACTAAGTGATAGAGGAAAGAAATACATTTTCCCTGCATATTCCATAAAGTGTTTATTTCACCCTATTCTGATGTAGTTTCTTTAAATGTGCATTGCAACCTGCCGTGAACAATAGGATACTGTGGAAAAAAGCTCTGAGATTGCTCCCTATGTATTAAATTCATTGTGTATAAACTGAAATAATCTATCTTATTTTAATTTACTGCACTGTGCCCTACCTGACTCCACATATAATAAATATTGATTTTGTGCCAAATATATAAAATTAATGATGGTAAAGCAAAGCCCTGAACTTGCCAAAGGGAACTACAATGTAGTATTTTACACTGAAACATAGCTTTGATCACTCAAGTTGCAATAAAAGTATGAATCTCTCATTGGGAATACATTTTTTACATCTCTCATTGGGGACACATTGCCAATTTTGCTGAACCTGGGGAAAAAAATCTAACTGAAAGACACAAAATTTAATCTGCTTTAACCTGATCAGCGTACTAACCACTATTGTTTGATTTGTTTGACTTCAGAATTTGAAAAAAAATATTTTCCTCCAAATACATTTGTTCTCAGAAATAAATCTATATAAAACACAGGCACTTTTAACCTTCTGACCTTCACCATCTGTAACTCAGTTTATATTTAAAAAAAACCTGCAAACATCTGTTCAAATATCAAACAATGGCTAAACAGAAATTTAACAGTCTGGGCAAAATGCTTTTAAAATGACATTGTAGTTTCAGCTATAATTTCTGGTGGTGAAGACATGGGGACATTTAAATGGGTGAATTTTCTAAGCAATTCTGAGACATGCTCACATTTCTGGCTGGCACAATGTTTTAAATTTAATATGGGACAAGTGCAAAGCTTAACACAGCTGGGCTGAACTTTACTTTAGAAATACTACTTGCTGAGTAAAGTACTGATCACTTTGGGAAAAGTGACAGAATCTGGCCGTAAAAATGCCATGGAGATTTAGTGCTCTATAACTTAAAAGGGTAAAATTTAAAACACAACATCAAGTACACATGAATTTGGTTTATTATGCAACAATCTGAACTAAACCTTGCTCAATTTAGTCATCAATTCCACTATTTCATCAGCAATCTGACTGAAGTCAACAGGACTCTTCAGTTGAGCATGGCGAGCAAACTTTAACTCAATGTGAATTAGACAGCATCTGTAAGTGAATGCAAGTAAAATGCTTGGGATACTGTCTGACAGTTAGAATACAGATGTGTAGGTCAGAAACCCAGACTCTGTTCCACGTCATGCTACTAATATGCTGCATGACCATGGCCAAGCCATTTAATCTCCTACTGCCTCCTCTGTAAACTATACTTAAACAAATGGCTGATAATATATGTTGGGAACCAACGAAACAAGAGTTATCTGTAAAGTATAAGTTTAGCAGATCTAACAGTTGAAAGTGTCACTTTCAACAATTGTAAATTATATTCCTTTGTAGGCTACATGAATCTTTCTAAGTCTTAGTCCTTGTAAATATACCTTACTCCTATTTTGACAAATATTTTTGCCAACTGACTGGTCAACATTGTAATTATGCTGTACATTCACCGCCCATCATTGCAGTTGTAAGCATACTTCAATTTTATATTTTATTTAATTTTTAAATATTATGCTGCATTTCTTAAAAGGAAGAGAAGAAAAAGGGAAGTAGCAGGTGTCTACTTTGTGACACAGGAAGCTTTCTACATGATTCAAAGCAATGACTGCATGACGCTCATTTTGCAAACAGCCCGATTATTCCTTCCCAACCACCCAGAACATGTGGCCAGCACAGTGCTCTAATTCCGAAAAAGTGAGAAATTCCATTTTGCAAACACAATGTAGCAATTTCTTTCTTTCTTTTGTTCTTTATTACAGAAAAGGGGCCAGTTTTAAACATCTATTGAAATCTGTCTGTGCCTGAACACACAGTATCACAATCATAGACGTAAATGGGGTAACTTCATACCAGAGTCAGCCACACATGTGTAGGATTTACTTAGACCTCAGTTTTGGCCCCAATGTGCAGCCACATGAGAGCCCCCATATTCCACTGAGCAAGCTGTCCACGTTGCTGCCCTCTGAAGACTGGGAATATAGGCTACTATGGGACTGCTACCCTCCTGTGTCAGCAAGCGGGAAGTGGGAAAGGAGGGGGTTAGCGATATGGGAAAGACTCTGTTGCTCCACTGTTATAAATGTGCCAACAGTGCAGCTGAGCCAGGCCTGAAGGGCAAATGCCATCCAAAGAGCAAG